CAGAGCTATAGTCCTGAAAACAGCTTGGTACTGGCACAAAAATAGACAGTAGACCAATGGAATCCAATTGTAGAGCCTGATATTAACTCACATACCTACAAACAACTGATTTTTTACAAAGAAGCTAAAGATATACAATGAAATAAAGAAAGCATCTTCAACAAATGGTGATGACATAACTGGATGCTGGCATGTAGAAGACTGCAGATAGATCCATGTCTATCACCATGCACAAAACTTAAGTCCAAATGGATGAAAGACCACAACATAAATCCAGCCACACTGAACGTCTTAGAAGAGAAAGTGGGAAGTACCCTTGAACAAATTGGTACAGGAGACCGCTTCCTGAATATTACACCTGTGTAGCACAGACACTGAGATCGGCAATTAATAAATGGGACCTCCTGAAACTGAGAAGCTTCTATAAGGAAAAGGACACAGTCAGCAAGACAAAAACGGCAGCCCACAGACTGGGAAAAAATATTCACCAACCCCACATCCCACAGAGGGCTGATCTCCAAAATTTACAAAGAACTCAAGAAGCTAGTCTCCAAAACACCAAATAATCCAATTAAAAAGTGGGGTACAGAACTAAATAGAGAATTCCAAATACAGGAATCTAAAATGGCTGAAGGACACATAAGAAAGTGTTCAACATCCTTAGCCATCAGGGAAATGCAAATCAAAACAACTCTGAGATACCATCTTACTCCTGTCAGAATGGCTAAAATCAAAAACAACAATGACAGTTTGTGCTGGAGAGGATGTGGAGAAGGGGAACACTCCTCCACTGCTGGTTGGAGTGCCAACTCATATCAGTATGGTGATTCCTCTGGTAAATGGGAATCAGTCTACCACAAGATCCAGCAATTCCACTCTTAGGCACATACCCAAAAGAAGCACATTCATATAACAAGGACATCTGTTCAACGATGTTCATCACAGCATTATTTGTAATAGCAAGAATCTGGAAGCAACCTAGATGCCCCTCAACTGAAGAATGGATAGAGAAAATGTGGTACATTTACACAATGGAGTACTACTCAGTGAAATAAAAAAACAATGGAATCTTGAAATTTGCAGGAAAAATGGATGGAACTAGAAGAAAATATTCTGATCAAGGTAACCCAGTCACAAAAAGACAAATATGGTATGTACTCACTCATATAAGGATTTTAGACATAGAGCAAAGGATTACCAGTCAACACTCCACACCACCAGAGAAGCTAGGATACAAGGAGGACTCTAAGAGAGACATACATGGTCCCCCAGAAAACAGGAAAGGGACAAGATCTCTGAGCAAATTGAGAGCATGGGGGGAGAGGAGAGGGAGCTAAGAGAATAGGAAGGGGAGATGAGGAGGGGTGAGGAGGACATAAGGGAGCAGGAAGGTTGTGTAGAGGGAAGAATATAGGAGAGAAAAACAGATACCATAATAGAGGGAGCCATTATAGGTTTAAAGAGAAATCAGGCACTAGGGAAATGTCCAGAAATCTACAAGGATTTCTAACCATCTAACCAACTAACCATCTAAGCAACAGTGGAGAGGCTACTTTAAATGCCCTCCCCTGATAATGAGATTGATGACTAACTTATATGCCATCCTAGAGCCTTCATCCAGCAGCTGATGGAAGTAGAAGCAGACACCCACAGCTAAACACTAGGAGAGAAAAACAGATACCATAATAGAGGGAGCCATTATAGGTTTAAAGAGAAATCAGGCACTAGGGAAATGTCCAGAAATCTACAAGGATTTCTAACCATCTAACCAACTAACCATCTAAGCAACAGTGGAGAGGCTACTTTAAATGCCCTCCCCTGATAATGAGATTGATGACTAACTTATATGCCATCCTAGAGCCTTCATCCAGCAGCTGATGGAAGTAGAAGCAGACACCCACAGCTAAACACTGAACTGAATTGGAATCCAGTTGCAGAGAAGGAGGAGTGATGAGCAAAGGGGTCAAGATCAAGCTGGTGAAACCCACAGAAACAGCTGACCTAAACAAGGAGGATCTGTCTTCGTCCCCAGACTGATAGCTGGGAAACCAGCTATGGGACTAATCCAGACCCCATGAACATGGGTGTCATTGACAAGGCCTCAGAAATCTATGGGGCCTCTTGTAGTAGATCAGTACTTATCCCTAGCATAGGAATGGACTTTGGGAGCTCATTCCACATAGAGGGATACTCCCTGAGCCTCCGCACATGGGGGAGAGCCTAGGCCCTATCCCAAAGGATATGACAGACTCTGAAGACCCCCCATGGAAGACTTCACCCTCCCTGGGGAGCAGAAAGGGTATGTGATATGCAGGGTGTTAGTGGGTGTCAGGGAAGGTGGGGAGGGAGAGGGAACTGGGATTGGCATGGTAAAACAATCTTGTTTCTAATTTAAATTTTAAAATGGAGAAAAAAAGAAAGTGAATAACTATGATTATAAAGTTGTAAGACTCCAAGAATTTATAGCACTCTTGGGGGTGACCATGAACTCCCCAAAGGATGAGAGACAATGGTATCTCTTTCAGCAGATGAGATAACCTTAGCTTACAACTGAAATCCATAAAAGTACTTTTGCATCCATGTACTTCCCCTCCCACCTCCCACACAAACAATCCTGGTCTTGAAGTCCTTTATTCATGAGAGAATAGGAACACAATGTATGCTCATAATGTTAAAAAGCAACATGTTTATATGCGCATGAAGCAAATGCAAGAAGAAATAGGTGGATGAAAACTTATATAGACAGACAGAAGATGGGTGGATAGATGGATGGATGAATGGATGGATGGGCCCTTCCCAACAGGCATGATTAGAAATGATATACAAATTGAGACCCTCCCCCACGCTCAATTCTGCAGGACAACTAAAATCAGAATGATTTGTTGAAATTAAAAGGCATGTATGAGTAAGACTTGGAAGCTCAAATCATAATAGAGAGTCAAGGATATATACCTGGGGCACAGATAAAGAAGCACAATCCAGGGACAGACTGAAGATGGACTGCAAATATCCCTAAAAGCATGGGATGCTCTGAGTCAACACTGGAGGACCTGGCCTGAAACTGCAGGGTGGGGCTACTGCTTCTGTGTGGTCTCACAAATCTACACACATATTCCAAGGGTCTCCGGGCTTCACCTTCTGAGAACCCATCTGGAAAGTTAGTTATAGCATCCAGACTTGCAAATAACACTCAGCTCCATCCAGGTCTCTGTGGAAGATTAGAGGTCATGAGGTCTGTAGTCCTGACTTCTGCTATTTACCAGACTTACTGTGCTTCAGCCCATTTACCAAAAAAAGCTTTAAGCCTAAAATTCCCACAGCTTCCCTAAACACAAAGTGCAATTTTCAAGAGGAAAGTGGATCACACATGAGTAACAATGCCTTCCAGATCAATGAATTACCAGGCCTTGGCGGTGTGTGGCCAATGCTTCTGTCAGGCCACCAAAGGGGGGGGGGCAAGTGTGACTAATTGCAATTAGAGAGAACAATAGCCCAGGAACACCCTTGTTGTGAGGGAGATAACTCATGTTGAGGTTTTGTCTCGAGAGTCATGTTCAGTCTCTTCAGTCATGTTCTGTGCTTCAGACTTAGTGGGGCCCTGCTTCTTGAATTCTCTGTGTTTGGGTGGCTGTTCTTTCCTTTCTTGTGCTCACAAAGCTGCCTCTATGACATCCTGTGCACTCATTTCTGATCCCCAAACTACCTTCCAAATAAAAGAAAGGAAGGTGGATCTGATGGCCTGTGAAGCAGACTCTTAAATATGACATATAAACTCGTTTCTCTAGAGCAGTGGTCCTCATCCTTCCTAGTACTGCTACCCTCATGGTGTTCTGAACCCCAACCATAAAATTAATTTCCTTGCTACTTCATAACTGCAATTTTGCTACTCTAATGAATTGTAATATACATTTTTTTGGAGATAGAGTTTTGGCAAAGGGGTCTCAATCCACAGGTGGAGAATTCTAAAAATTGTCACACTGTAACAGAGCACCACATAAAGAAAAGAAGAAATTCCAAGAAGAGCCTTACTTCAAGTTCTGTTTTTGGGAAGCAAGACAGCAGTGTGGAACTGATCAAACTGGTATCCTGTTACCTCAGAGCCTTGCTTTTTGTTCAGAGTCAAGCAGACTATCCAACTAAGCTGTTCTCTGTTTTCAGGAAGCCTCGACCATGGAGCCACAACGTTGGTCTTTAACACCATCAACCAAAGCCAAATTTTTCTGAGACATGCAATGCAGTAAGACTGCACTTCCATGCCACTTGTTTGTTTGTATCATACCCCTTGAGTTTCTCATATGATTACCTTAGTTCATGAAAAATGAGAAATGTCATTCACAACTCAGGCAGGGACTTTCAGAGTAAACATATCTTCCCACCTTGTCTTTACTGCTCACATCACAGTAAATCTTGGGTTGCAGTGTGGCTAGAGGCAGTGAACAGATGAGGAGCAGAGCATCCTCCTCTGCTTATCCATATCAGAAATAAGCAGGAAAAGGAAATACACCTGTTCTCTTTCTAACCATTGAGATTTCAAGGAGCTTTGTTCCTGTAGCCTAAGTTGGTCTGTCTAAATGCCTCCACAGATTTCTTACAATACTAACTATCTTAGTTGCTTTTCTTTTATCCCTTTCTTGACTTTTTATTTTGGCTGGAGGTGGGGAGCTTGAACTCAGTCCCCCAACTATCACAAATTATGCAGTCAATTTTCTTGAATTTGGGAAAAACACAGAGTTCAACACATCTGGAACTCAATCGATAAGCCTAGCCTGGGGAAACCACCTCCATGATCATGACACCCTGCCAGGTAAGTATCTTAGTTTATTTTCTATCGCTATGCTAAAACACCATGAACATGGAAACTTATAAAAGAAAGCATTCAATTGGGCTCACAGTTTTAGAGGGATAGAGTCCATGATGGTGGAGCACAGGCATGGTATGGGGAGCATGTGAAGCTCTGAGTGAATGTGTGTTGTAGACAGGAGCCCACAATGTCAAGGACCCCAACCTAGCTTCAGACCCATAGGAAAACAGCAAAGCCTTCCCCCTGGGGTGCGACTCAGCAATGGCAAAGCCTTTCTCTGGCCTGTGTACAGATGTTGATGGTATACACAGAAAATTTCTACCATAGGTCTCTCCCCTTTCCCCCTTGATATTTATGGCCTGAAAACTATTTTTTTCCTACAGAGACTGCTCCCACTGAGATTAGCGAAACCTGCCCCCTCAATTCAGTTGTATGACATAAACCCCCTACCTCTTTGTTCGGCTCTTTGCACTAAGCTCACCTCCCTATTTGAATGTATGATATACACACCTGAGCTTCCTGGATGTTGAAGTCTCTCCATCAGAGAGTACAGTCCACCCAATCCCAGGTTTTTTTATGTGTATGTGTCTATGTTTGTCCCTTTCCCACTCCAATAAGGTCCATCTCTAGAGCCATGCTGGGCATGGCAGCAGGAATATCTAAGAGGTCATATATTTATCTCCTAAAACAGGCACAGGGGATGGTGGGACATTTTTAAAACCTTAAGCTTGCTGCCAGTGACACACTTCCTCCAACAAGGTCACATTCTCCTAGTCCTTCCCAAATGGTCATTGACTGAGAACCAAGTATTCAAATGCCTAAGACTTATGGGAGATACCAAGTTACTGCATTACACTCCCTGACTCTCATGGTCATATCATGAAACAATATGCATTCAGGTCTTCATAGTCTTTCACAGTCTCATCACTATTTAAAAGTCTGAAGACTTTTCTGACACTCCAGGCAATCTCTTTTCTGTAACCCCCTGCAAAATCAAAGGGCAAATCACATACCTCCAGCATACAATGGCACAGAATATACATTTCCATTCCAAAAGAAAAGCCAGGGAAATATGAAGAAAGACAGAAACCCTACAGGGCAAACTACAAATCCCGTAGCTCTATGTTCAAGGTCAAAGGACGTCTCTGCCCTTTTAGCTTTGTTGCCTGAAAGACCCATCACTCTCTCAGGCTTGTCATGATGTCTGTATGAGGCTGTCCTTGGTAGACATTCCACAGCTCTAGCATGTCCAACATTTTGGGATCTCCAACTCAATCCAGGTTCATTCAATGGCATTTCAGGGACTCTTGCCTCATCAAGGCCTTCATGCAGAAATGTCCCTGCCACACATTGCCTGGCCTCAGAAGTTCTTCTTTGTGTCCTTCATGACTGTAAAGCCAGAACCACATGAATAATGTTACCAAGATTGGCTGCCCTCTTGGGATGGAGCCTGCCCCCCTTGAACCATAGTTACAGTGGCTTTCTTTTGTTGTTCTAGGAACAGTTGGAAGCTTGGATGGGTGGGATCTTGTGCTGATAGCACCCTTGTTTTAGTCCATTGTAGGTCAGGTCTCTCCTCAATTTCTTATCTTTTTCTGCACAAGACAAGTCTCCAGCATTATGCTTCCTAATTTCTCTCTTCAAACAGTGTTTTGTATTTCTTGCTGTCCCCTTTGTATTTCCTTTAGTCAGTCCTTAGTAGATTTAAGTGCCAGATAGGCAATTGTAGTTTTGAGGCATAAATAAAATTATGAAAATACATTTAAATGTAACTTAAGGTTGCTTTTACATGATAAAACCCTAGAAATAAGTGGGTGTATTAGATTACTATTGCTATAATAAAGTACAACAACCAAAAGCAACATGGGGAGGAAAGGATTTATTTCATCTTACATTTACGTATCTCAGTTCATCACCCAAGGATGTCAGGGCAGGAGCTCAAGATAGGAGCCTGGAAGTGGGGACTGAAGCATAAGGCATGGAATATGCTGTTTACTGGCTTGTTAAGCCTTCTCTCTTATTCCATCCATGACCACCTGCCCAGGGTGGCACTGCTCACAGTGAGCTGGGCTCTCCTACGTCAATCATTAATCCAGAAAATGTCCTACAGGCTTGCCTACAGAATAATCATCTGGAGGCATTTTTTTCAATTAAAATTCTCAATTCCTGAATATGTATGTCTAGGTTTGTGGCAGGTTAACAGAAGTCACCCAGCACAGCAGGTATTATTGTTAATCGCTCAATGATCAAATGAGCAATATGTTCTTCATAGTTTTTACTCTATATTCTCAGTATATTTGTTTCTCAGATTTCTTTAATATGTGTGTAAACATATATGTGCATATGTTTTTAGGGATAAATATCTACATATGTGGAGACTTCAAATATTTTCATTGACTTTGATTATCTTCTTTGACTGCTTTCCATCTTATGTGTTGAGGTAGGCTCTATTCCTAAACTCACAGTCCACTGTTGTGGCTAGTCTACAAGGGCAAGGGGGCAGGAGGACCCCTGGGTCTCTGCTACATACATGCTGTGACCACACACCCACTAGGCTTTTGCTTGGGTTCCTGGGATCAAACTCCAGTCCCACATGACAAGCATTTACAGACTAATACAGTGTCTTTTCGCCTTCATGTCTGAATTCAAAGGACTAAGAATGGCTGTTCCAGGTGAATGCTTATATTCAAGACAAAAGAAAGGGTTAAGTGTAGCCCTAGCTACATTTCATACCTTACAGAAATGTAAATATCCTTAAACAAAAGTTCTCCTAGAAAATCCCAATTACATCTCATTGAACAATGGTTCAACAAAGATCTACCTCAGCCTGTAAAGAAGAGAATGGCAAGGATGGGGGAAGCTGTGATGGAGCTGGGGTTTTTTTTCTGTCCTTTCTTTGTGATTCCAAAGGTTCTGAAAATGCTGTCTAAAGTGTTATGGTACACATATTTTATTAAAATCATTTTTGTATTGTGAGCAACTTTAGCTTTCTTTTTTATCTTTCTTCCCCTGAATCCTTTCAGAGATCCATGACTGTGCTGAACATATGCCTGCTGTGTTACCTAGTTGTATGTCATCTCCACACACGCTAGCATCAGCAGAGACGAGGGAGCCTCAGTTGAGAAAATGCCTCCATAAAATCCATCTGTAGACAAGACTGTAGGACATTTTCTTAATTAGGGATTGATGTGGGAGGGCCCAGCCCATTATGGGTAGTGCCATCCCCAAGCTGGTAGCCCTAAGTTGTTTAAGAAAGCAGGCTGAGCAAGCAGAGAGGAGCAAGCCAGTAAGCATCATTCTTCCATGGTCTGTGCATCATCTCCTGCCTCTAGGTTCCTACCCCACTTGAGTTCCTTGCCCTCACTGCCTTTGATGATACTGTTATATAGAACCGTGAGTGAAATAAACCCTTTCCACCCTAAGTTGCTTTGGTCACAGTGTTTCATTATAGCAATAGTAACACTAAGTTTAATAATGAGCTTGCCCTTCAGGCACTGGGACAATAGGAGCTGCAAGTTGACTCTTACTCAGCTAAACGCTTCAGCAGAACGGGCAGAAGCACTCTTGCCATGTGTTGGTACCCCACAAAGCACACTGGGAAATAACTTTTGAGTGTAAGCTTCATTTAATTTTGTAAAATTAATCATACTTCCAATGCTTGCAGGTGAGAAAAAGAAGGTTTGGGAATTATTTTATTTGACTTGGTGACTATGCTCATTTAAAATATTTGATGTGATATAAGTGAATTTTTGAGATTTATTTATTTTGTATATATGCATGTATGTATGTATGTATGCAAACATGAGTTTCGTGTGCATTACTTTGATATAGATATTCATAGAGATCAAAGGGCATCAGATATCCTGGAACTGGAGCTATAAGAGTTTGTGGGCCACCTGACATGGTTGCTGGGAATCTTAACCACTTGCACATCTCTTGAGACACTGCAACTGAGCTCTTAAAAGTGTGTACCCCACTATCTCTGAGCTGTCTGTGTCATAGCCTGCCCTGAATAAAATCTTTTAAAATCACTTTAGGATATGAGCCTGTGGTAGTTGGAATGAGAATGATCCCTGCAGGCTCATATTTTTAAATACCTGGTCCCAAGTTGGTGGAATAATTTGGTAAGGATTAGGAGATGGGGCATGGAGTTTGAGGACTTGTGTCTAGGACCACCTTTGAGGTTTCAAAAGTCACAGCTCTCTCTCTCTCTCTCTCTCTCTCTCTCTCTCTCTCTCTCTCTCTCATGTTTATTGTCTCAAAATGGAGGCTCTCAGCTACTAGTGCAGTGTCATGTCACCTGCCTGTGGTAATGCTCCTAGCCATGATGCTCACTGCTCACTGACTAATCCTGTGAAACAAAGTCCCTCTGAAGTCTTTCTTCTATAAGTTGCCATGATCGTGGTGTCTTAGAATAGCAACAGAAAAGGAACTAAGACAGAGCCTTGTGCTTCAAGGGTGACATTCTCAGACACTGCTAGGAAACCTGATGTTACCTTCTGTTCTAGAACAATCTCCCAGCCATAGACACTGCTCTCAGCCCAGACGCTGAAGCCCACAGATTCCTTCATAATCCCCAAATTTACCGGTAAAAAAGCTGCACAAGTCCCACATGTTCTTGAAGACTTCCATGACGAGTCATATTTTACACTCGGATTTGGCTTTCTTTCTGACCCTGTGCTTTCCTTCTAGATCAAGGCTGATTTCTTTGAAGCCCAGGGCTTCAAAGTGGTAAATCCCACAGCCTCACCCGAATCTTGAAGACTCCTATGGTGGAAAGATTTATAGCAAACGGCTTTGGGATTCTTAATGTAATGTGTTGTTTGAATCAAGAAGTCATGGGACATACTTAAGGAGTCAAAAAAGAGCAAAGTGTACAGAATTGAAAAATGATAGTCCCCTTCACTATTGTTCTCTGCTGCACATCAATCACTCTTTGCTTTCCAGAAGAGCCTTGGAGCGTGGTCTCCTATGGTTGCCATACACACACACACACACACACACACACACA